GCTCACGCATCGTTGTTCCACCTAACTTACGGCCCCAGATACTCGCGGAGTTACATACAGCGCACCCAGGCATTTGCAGGATGAAAGCGCTAGCCAGAGATTATATTTGGTGGCCTAAGATGGATGAAGATATTGACCGACTAGTCCGGACATGTCAACGGTTTCAAAGAAATGCATCACCAGTTCCTCTGAGTCCTTGGAGTTGGCNTATTCTGGTCCGCTCGACAACTGCATGTTCTTACTGATGATTGATGCACATTCAAAGTGGATCGAAATTTATCCTGTGTCCCACGCCAGTTCGGCGACTACAGTAAGTTGCCTGCGTACATCATTCAGCACATTCGGTATTCCACAGACTCTGGTGACCGATAACGGTACTCCGTTTACCAGTGAAGAGTTTAAACAATTTGTCCAGAGAAACGGCATACGTCATGTTAGAACTGCTCCTTACCATCCACCCTCCAAACGGGCTGGCGGAACGAGCCGTTCATGGGAAAACAAGGAAAAATGAAAGATAGATATGACGACTCAGCACCTGAGCGGACTCTCCGCCGATCAAGCAGAGAATCCAAGCCAGGGGACAGATTTCAGGCACGATAAGGTCTAATCACACAAAAGGGAAAGGAATGTGACAAGTGTCAACGTCGATTATGCCATCGATCTATTCTCCGTCTCACTCTAAGACAAAGACCAATGCTTACGTCACCTACACACTCTGGCGCTCGCACATGCACACAGGCACCACGACTCATTCCCATTGCTTGACCTGTTAGTCATTCTCCTACTGTAGATTGTCACGTGACGCATGATCCATTCAGTAAAGCTACGTACTCTGGACTATACGTGTTCTGTGCCTTGTCCTCCGGGCTAACTACGGGTTAACCTGATTGAGACTGTAACGGGAGGAAAGTTGGAAGGGCAGAAATTGCGTGAAACCGCTTTGGCAAAGGACCGGAATGTTTCGTTACCGGTGGCGGAATAAGCCAATCGCGCAGCTTTGTGGCAAATGAAGCATTTTTTGCTCTCTGAATACTGATCGAGCGTCTGTTTCTTGCTTGCACGAAGCGGCTGCGGGATGCTGGATTGGGTGAGTGTTGCCAACGACGGAATACTGAGCTTTCAAACGTACAGCACGGTTGCAAGCGTGATTAAACCACTCAGGGGATCGTGATTTGCCGGGTTTGGAGAAGTGTGGAATATAGAGACACATACCTTGAAAAACAATCTCTGTGAAGTTTGAAACAGACTTGGAAACATCAGATTTAAAACAACAATTCTTCCAGGGATAACAAGCCAGAAAGTCACGAAAACCGTCCCAGTTAGCCGAATCCTAACGCCAAAAGCTGCGTCTGGAGTTTGTTGATGAAGTTGACTTAGGTTGTTGACCACAACAAAAGCCTCGGCTTCGCGTCCCATGATGGTAGTGTCGGATGAGTGCTTCAACCATTCCTTGTTGTGGACATTGAAATCTCCAATGGTGATTTGGCTGTAAGAATCTGCTGACAATAATATCTCAATGTTGGAAGACAGAATATAATAAATAGAAGAATGGCTGCTGCTCGGGGAGCGGTAAACAGTACAAAAATAGTGGTTGAAAGAAGGGAATTGAAGTTTCACCCAAACAAGCTAAAATTCACGGCTAGAGAATTCCAAGTGTGAAAATCAGGAAGAACCGACAAAATGATGGATATAGGCCCAGACACCAGCTTTAGAATGAAAAGAAGAATGGAGGGAGTAATTAGGGAATTGAAGATGAGTAGTGTCTGACGTGGGGAAGATTTGTGTCTCCGTCAAAAATAAAGCAATCGGGGAAGAAGGTTGTATAAAGTGGTGTACAGAATTAACTTTCCGATTTAAATTACGAATGCTAGTGAGGGCTATGGAGTGTTGTGAGTTCGAAGGTAGAGTGCGCATTGTGTGAGTTGTACCGTTCATTTTTGAAGGGAGAGGAGACTGGCAACCCAACCCTGAGACTTGGAGTGGTAAACCACAAAAGGCCTCAATAGGTTGAGCGTGATAGTGAGCCAGGCGACAGCAGGGTCGTCTACCACTTATAAAAGTGCCTGGGAAGACAGGTAGTGTTAGAGTGGTTCGAACTCGGCACTCAGGGGTCATAAGTTGGTGACCCAACCACTTGGCCGGCATCACACTAATGAAGCATCAGAACCTAATTACAGTGTTGTGGTGACTTAGTGGTGTGAAACATGTCGCACCAATCCCCCCCCCCACGTCCTCCCAACCACTTTAACCTTTGTTTGATTCAATATCTATCTCATTCCATCCTTTTCACTTCCTTATATGTTCTGTACAAGCTAGTAGATGAATCAATGAAAACAGTTGTTCGCCTCTCAACGTGTCGTTTCATGTCATAATGGACATTCTGTATTCTAAAGTGTCTTGTGCCACCAAAATAATGTCTGGAACCTCACCTCATTCCAGTCGGGTAGGATTGTGATACTGCGAATGACATCCAAGTGCCCGGTATAACTTTGATATAAATGTCCGGCTTCAAGATCAAATATCCTGGAGGGAGGGGAAAACAAGCAGAAATAAAACAGAAGAAGCTTATAAATTTATATTTGTGTGCATGTGTAATGAGGTTGTGCTACTTAGAATTGTCACAGTTTATTAATTGGGGGCCTTTGGAACCACAGTTTAATCAATGGTTAGTGACATCGGATGATATGATGGAAGTTGTTTAACCCTGACACTCGTATAACTCACTTTCAACGCACATTTATTTTACTTGGAGAGTACGAAACTGCACCAGTGTATAGAAAATACGCTTCTCAACGGTCACTAAATTGTTAACGTAGTCATCGTATTCACTGACAGAACAGAAGCACGGATGCAGTTGATCAAAAGAAGGAGAATTCCATCCTTCGAGAGGAAATCTGTCTGAACGTTTGGACCTGTGTTCACCACCTCCCCATTGCAGCGAAATGCAGTCACAATCCGGTTTTCGTGAACAGTACTCTGTTGGCATTCATTGAAAATCGTGAGTTTTACCTCCATAGTTCGCTTGTGTTCATATATGGGAAGAAACAAGTATTTGATATTCCCATCTGTTTGGGTCCGAGTGAGTACAGAGCGGGTTATTGTTTGGCTATTGGTGTGCTCAGTGTCGGGAGTTCCGAGGTTTGAATATCGAAAGCGCTGGACGAATTAACATGCACGGTTCCAAAGCAATCGGGACACTTCGCCGTTTCTTTGTTAGTGGTCAGCTTTCTGTGGCAAACAAGGTTACAACGAAATATATTCTGTTATCCACGAAGTGGAAGCGGGCATCCAGGTATATTGGACACCTTGGACGTTTCACCCGACCCTAAGGGCGAATGATCCGATGAACTGGACACGGGCTCCCAATGAACTGTGGTTTTCACACACCGCCCCGCTGCCTTGCGGGTCAGGCTTTGGTTAGCCGGTGGCTCCGGTTGTGGATTCCCCCAGAAAATTCACCTGCCTTTGCCTGGGCAACCTGGCAGTAATCAGCCCACTTGCAAATAGTGTAACGTTTTTCTTTTTATAAAGATTATTGTACCGCGATTTGTTTGGCACAGCCTGAACTCAGACGTGTGTCAAGTATATAATACGAAGTAAAAAAACAACATTGGGTGATCCAATTAACCCACTGCTAGAGCTAACTAAACGCTGGAACCTTTGCGTTGGTGTGCTCTCCTTTCTGTTAGTGTCGTCCGCAGACGTTTTTCACGCAGCATAGGCACCTTAGAGGAAGCACTGGTGATGTTGTGTTGCCCGGCTACGAAACGTCTCCGAACAACACTTCCAACTCGGAGAACACACCAACACCAGAAAACGGCTTAGAAACCGGATCTCAAAGCACGTGCCAAATAATTTGTCTTTCAACGCACCGAAGCTTCTGTAGAGTTCAGTCATCCGTCCTCTAATGGAAAATTCCAAGCAACCCTTTTGCGTCATCATTTTCCGATAGAATAACCGTTTTTCACGCCAACTACTATTCAACGTTACAAACCAGACCTGTATAAGCTGACCGATTGCACTGGTAGCCTCGCACTTCGATAGCAAAAATGATTACCTACCCCCCCCCTCTAAAATGATTAAGATGAGTGCCCGTGCCCAATCCGGTTTGGATTTGTGAATTTTCCCGATGTGTTTGCTAGTTTATGAACTTACTTTTTCAGGCAAATGTCATCTGGATATAGGTACATTCTTGGCACCTGTCCGTCTCAAAATTCTATGTAATCTCGGCATTTCGTGTCCAAGTTTGCAACCAACTGGTGTTCTATTTTCCCAAGTGACTTCATGATTTTTGTATGAAATGCGGGGCAATATTTCACTGAGCATCAGAACTCCCGTCAATTGATCACTTCTTTCGTGCGTAACAATATATTACTGTTCTATTATGCAATGCAAACCTGGTTCAAACTGCAGCGATTTATCTTAGGAGGCACAAGCAGGCCAAAAGTTGAGCCTAAAATAGTATTCATTGGAAAAGTAATGGAGAATTTGGAAATTTCACAGCCAAACATGCAATCTTCATGACGGAATTTGAATTTCAGAAGCTATGGCACAACAAGTTACCAACCGTCAACAGGATTCCATGCAATTTAAAATCCCCAACTGCTAAACTATGCACCCCAGCACTTTTCTGCCCTCTCAGCCGGATGTCTGTTGTAATGGCTTCAAGATAGTTTCTGTCCAAAGATAACGCAATATTTGTGTGGTGATGCAGACTTCCGTGACTGCATTCCAGGCATGACCAGGTGCAGGTGTCATCCAATCACCGTTCAAGATTCTCGGCCGATGGTGCACCGGGCGAACATGACATCCGAGTTAGCACATGTGATGCGCAAATGGTTACGTGATTGGACGACGGTCCTTCATCCAATCATATGGCCTATTACCTTCTATAAAACATGCTCTAATTCTATCAATAAACACAAGCATTTGCTTCTGTCAATTCCTCGTGTATTTTGTTGGTGTCCGCAGTTCGGGTTGGAGCCAATACAGTACGGGTTCTCGTATTCCTACATTCACTACTTTTCCGATTATCACAATTTGTTATATATTTCAGGACGGGAATAAAAAGCCATCAGTTTCCCCCCTCGATTGTTCAACTGAAAATTACACTGTATACTTACTGACTAGAGTGTATGTCGACCAGATTTTTTCGTTTAAACTAAACAAGAACGTGTTCATTTGAGTAAGACGAATGTTATCGTGCATGTTGGTACAGCAATCAAGTAAAAAAATATTTTACACTGAAGTGTTTGATGTGTACAGATAATTTCGTTCTTTGGCGGATGGAAAAACGTTTGACTGCGCAGTCTGTAGCCAATATGAACTTACTTAACATCTTTACCAACTCCGGCGATGAGTAACTCGCGTGAAGGCTCCCACGCCAAGCAGGTTACAGGACCACCTGTGGACAACGTCATTCTGCAGCATCCGATATCACAGACAGGCTACAAAATACGGTGAGTGAGAGATAATATTAGTGTAAATGTGCCCCATTTCGTCTGATAAAATCTGGCTTCAGTAAATTTATCGACTGTTGTTTATTGAACTGGTCATGCACTATTGTTGGCTAAATGAACCAAGTTTAGCGAACATGGAAACACAGTGGATTCAAATAGGTCGACGATTGAATCATGAACTATTTTCTCTGAATCACATTTGGACCAAGATCTTATCCTATGGAACCGCGATACGGTAGGTCTGAACAGATCTCAAGTCAGCAGTAGCTCAGGTTGATGATTTTTCCACTATTTACACTACCTCTGTGAATATAAACTTTACTCAATCGCGAAAAATGAGTGTTTTCAGCGAAGCCGGCGACTATGCCATGCTGTGCAAACTTTCCACTTATGAAACGGCGACTTGCACGATGTGGCAAGAGTTGCGATGTGCAAAAGCACGAGTATATAACCGTGTCGGAAAGATGTCGAGGCAGCTGTGAAAGTTCTCTGTGTCATTGACGACAAGTGCTTGAGGGTATTTCGGGTATAGCATTTTCTAAATGCATTAAGGCAAATATCCCTTTCCAATCAGGGATATTTGCGACTTCCGACATTAAACTGGCTTAAATCCGCCTGCTGGATGTGTTCAAATGTTGACACAACGATTCCTTATTATACGCTTGAACTCGTTCACCACTTTATCGGCATAATTAACGAAACGTGCAATTTGAGCGATAATATAGATTTCACAAAATGTGCTCATGTGGGGTGAATGACTTTCAACTTGAACAAGATGCAAACTCCGATATGAATATAAATAGATCTGTATGATTTTCGAGTGAAATAATGTGGCCAGATTTTAATTGACTACACAACCAGTCAAGATAGAGTACCACGGGAATAACTCTAATGGAGAAAATGGAAGGTGGTGAAGGCGAGAAGGAATTTACTCAGAACACGCAAGCTACTACTCCCGAGGTAGAGGCTGCTAGTCTTGTCCGCTGTCACTAGTCCTTCCAACTTGTTTGAATTATCCAAAACACTTGAAGCACGAAACGCTCGATTGATTGGCGCAGACTATCTCCATTCCCTTGATCGACAAGTGTATCCAAGAACAGCAGAAATGAAACCATTTTCTCGGAACTGTATGATACTTCCACACAAAGTTGATTTTCGGGATACAATGGATTTATTTTCCTTAGAAACGTTGATACGTTGTGGGAAAGCTAGCAAAACATCAATCGCAATGTTTCTATCACACAGCGTCCAATTCTTCCGATAATATCATCATTACTACGCTTTTAAACAGTGTAGTCAACTATTCTCAACTGCTCATTCGCCCCGTCCATCCTGGGTGAAATTTCAGCTCAAGGAGTTGAGTCAATCATGTGACAATACTTTTCCATCCTTTACACACTTGTTCAAAACTGTTTTCGAATACTCTGAACATGTAGAAACTGAACACATGTGTACATAATTGTGCTATTCCCAATACTTATCTTTTATTTGCAATGTTGGCAATGCAGAAATAACAGTGTTATTTCTTGTGAATAGCCTTAATATTGTATAGAATCAATTGTCCTATAAGAACCGGAAGCCAGAATAGATTTTCATATCCCCACAACACCTTTTACCGGAGGCACAAAAAAAAAGGATTTGACTATTTGTGCTTACACACATAAACACTCAGTTCAGTTCAGTTTAGCTTGTACAGCCATTAACCATGCGCTTTCGTGCGCCGGTTCTGGTTGCCCATTCGGATAGAAGAGCAGAATGAAGATTAGAATGTTGAGAGGAAATTCAAGTGGAAGATAACAAATTTATATAGATTGATGTTACCAAAATAATGAGCAGATGCATAAGCGCCAATGTTTGCGACACCCAGCCACATCACCCAGTGTCCCTAACCATCAGTGACCATCATCTTGGCGAACATCGCTCGCCGTGGCAACCAATCTGGTGACGTTCTAACCAGCGTAATCTATGAAGGTCGACTGTTTGATCCAGTGGAAAACGGTGAGTGCCTAAAACTATACTCCTAAACTCAGCATTGCTCGTCCTTTTACCCCGCTAGACTCGTGCAATGCGACGTAGACAGCGGCGTTCGAACACCGACAATCTATTTTTAACTTGTCCCCGTAGTAGCCAAGTCTCTGCACCGTAAAGCAGCCGAACTGCTGCAGCATACAATCGACCCTTCACAGACAGCCGGATGTCGCGACGGTGCCACAGATGTCTCAGGTTGGCAAATGCCAATTGAGCCTTTTGTATGCGCGCCGACGTTTCATCTGTGATGCGCCCGCTCAGATAGAAAAAATTTGTCCTTTTCTCCTACTACTTTCCCAGTCAGGGTTAGGGTTGTAACAACCCCATATTGTAACAACATCTTACACTTCGGAAGTGGAAAACGCACACCGAACATCGCTACACTAGCACTCAAACTATCCAGAAAATCTTGCAAATTATCTGGATCTTTACTTAGCAGTACAATGTAGTCTGCGTACTCTAGATCAAACAGTCGGCTACCTGGGAGTGAATCGATACTTCTATCCTCGTTAGAGGATAAGAATTAAATCTATCACAAAGTTGAATAGAAACGGAGCGAGAGGGCAACCCTGTCGAACACCACTTTGTGTAGTGGAGTCAGGTGAGAATGTGCCTTAAGCTCAGACTCGACTTCGGCTAATATTATAGAGGGATTGTAATATTGAAATAACCTTCTCGGGCACACCCTTCAGTGAACGTAAGCGCCAGAGTTTAGAGCAATCGGCTGCGTCGAAATCCGCTTTCGGATCGAGGAAGATAGAAATGGTGGACCTGTGAAAGGAGCGTCTATGTTCTAGAATTTGACGATGAGTGAAGATGTGGTCGATGCAACCTCGTCCAGGTCTAAAACCACCCCGGTTCTCACGCATTCACTCTTCAATTGCGGCAGACAATCGACGGAGTAAAATGCCAGAGAGAAGTTTAGAGGCAATGTTGATTAAACTAATTCCTTTTGAGGAAACTGAAGCAATCCTTTCCCGAGATCATTTTGAAAAGAAAAGACCAAATTGCAATACTGCACGATTTATGTCCAGGACGATTTCGCTGCATCTCAACATGGTGCATACTGCAGAAAATACAATACTTATATAGGGATTTCGCATGGCAACAAAGATGAGTAAAATACAATGAAACAGAAAAAACATAAAAGGGGGAGGGATAAAAAAGACTATCACCAGGGTAAGGATAAACTAACATAAAGTTCTTTTTGTTGACACAAGGGGGACTTCCATCGATTGATAGCAATCGCTTCCGCAAACCGTAGCAATCTTGCGGTTCGTGACTTGTAGATAATTCNAGATAATTCGGAACGCCATGCTTCGGTCGATCTGGTGTTGCGTCATCAGAGGATGTCGAGCTATGGCTGACGACGGAGTCTTGTAGTTTCAACCGTTGATTCTATGTCGCGGACTTGACCCAGATTGCATCATCCGACTTTGAACCTAATTTGGAATATGTTCAACAACCCGGTTACGCAATTATCGCCGTGTTCTGCCCACGTAGGTCGCTCCGCACCCACATTGGAATTGGTAAATCA